TACCTAAATTTTTATATGTCACTTGCATAAATACAAAATGGAAAGAATAAAAAAAATTGATTCATATCTGAGCAAAAGCTTCATAAGCAAAATATTTCCCATTAAATATCAAATACATTGGAACTATCTCAAAATGAGTGGTATATATATTTGCATGTCAAGCTATAAAGAGAGCCAAAAGCAAAAGTTTCAGTATCTAGAAAGGAACAGTCAACAAGATGCTCTATATCAGCTAATTGCATAAAAATAATTAAGAAAAATTGTTTACTTTTGAAAATAAGTTATGGTTTCAAGATGATATCTATAGGAAATTTTATAAAGCTTTAAAGACAAGCTCTTGGCTCACAACCCACTAACTTGCAAACATATTTTAAAAAGTATGAGACTGGTAAATTTGTTTAAGTATTCTGTCTTCCCCCCTGGGAGGTATGTAGAAAGCAGATAAAATAAATCACCTTTTGTCCTTGACCCGCGCAAAGTAACGCTTACACTGGAAACTAAATTAAGTTCCTCTGGCAAGCTTCCTTCTCTGACAATTTTAAAGGATTTCCTATTATAGAAATCTATCAACTTTTCTCTGTCCGACCTTCTTTCTGGTCCTACATGCCCTCCTCCAGGCAAATTTGGGCTAGCCTGCACACTTAAAGGAAGGCTGATAGCAGCAAGGCTAAGACTCTGCAGTGAGACCCCAGTGCAGGTCTATCCTTTCTCTTTTCACCCCTGTCTCCATCACTTCCATGTCCCAGAAGAATGAACAGACTATTCCACAAGCCTGCAAGTAGACATCCCAGCAATTCTCAGGGAGGGTCTGACTCATTCAACACAAGTAAGTCTCAAATCATCAGCATGTTATGTCTGAGGACTAGGCATTCAACCGGAAGACTCGTATAACTCACCAATTTCCAGCGTAATATCTTGATCCACTCATCAGCTTCTACTCCTGTCTTTGCACAGAGATAAAATGTCCTGAATGGAAATACTAAGCTGATAAGACACAAGAAAGAAAGTAAGATACTCCAGATGGTTAGTCGAATACATATTAGTTGAACACTAATTAGAGTATCCCAAGGAAACAAGAACTGACAACGGGCCTGGGAAAGCCACGTGTAGAACTGGTATGAATGGAGCTGTTCCTGCCACTGTGCAGAAGGGTTGAGGACGCTGTAGATTCATGCTATTGTTACAGGCCAGATTTATATTTTCTAACAAGAATTCAAAGAAGAAAAAATGATGTTCAGGACTCCCCCGCCCCCACCCCAGTTCCCTTTGCAATGGTTAAATCCATGTACCTCAGATCAGAACATTTGTACACATTAAGACAATAGTTTTTTTGTCTCCCATCCAAGTACTAACCAGGCCTAACCCTGCGTAGCTTCCGAGATCAGATGAGATCAAGCGCGTTCAGGGTGGCATGGCCACGGACAACACATGTAAATGTTTATTCCTCAGCTAAAGTGTCTGACAAGAAGACTTTAAAAAATGTTTCCTTTATAAAACAACTTACCAAAAACAGTTGACCCTTTCCTGTGAGTAATCAAATTGCACGGCCGAACATTCTGTTAAGTCTAGGGTCCGAATTGGTTCTGGTGACTTAAAAACAAAAACCTATGTCATCACAAAACACACACAAATCTTTTCATCACTTTTTCCCCTAACAAATCTTCCACTATGTGAAACTGTCAATTTTCCTTTCACCAAGGGTACAGAAAACCTACAAAGGCAGTCACACACTCCTGGTTGGGAAGTTGGCCTTTCGTGAAACTAGGCACTAAGAAGACATATATTTATCAATTTAAATTTGGTGGAGGTAGATTTTAACACACGGGAGTCATTTTTCTCTTATGTTTTTAAACTTCTGCTTTCTCAGAAATTTTGTATAGGGAAAGTAAGAAGAAACAAAATAAATTTAAACTGGCTTAATGAAATAGGCATACGAAATGAACATGTTTTTAACAAACAGGGAAATTGCTGCAAGAGACAGCCAATATATTGTGGCAAGTGAACAATTCCATTGCCCTAGTTTAGCAGTCCCAGAGAGAAGTTCGTGGGATACACATCTCGTCTTTGCAAAATATCAGGAACCAAGCTCATATCAGGAACCAAGAAAGAACTCATGTCTCCACTCATTATTTGGGTGTTTCAGATGCTCATAAGGAAAAACGTAGGGATTTTAAAGGCAGATGTTCCTTTCATCTAGGGAGCTGACTAGGGAGCTGATTTTTAAAGGGAAAATGTATGACCAAGTTTCTCACCATCTGGTCTTTGAAGTATTTCAGTTCATTCCTGTGTAAAGTGAACCATCTTGTTTTCCAGGTCTGAGAAAAAAATAATTAGAACATGTAGGTTATGAATGCAGG